GGACTCCAGGATCATGACCTGAGCCGAAGGCAGTCGCTTAACCAACTGAGCCACCCAGGCGCCCCAAGATGGTACTATGAACAGGTAAATTACTTGTATTTTCTATAGTGACCCCTAGGAGGGAGGGAGGGAGACAGAGGAAGAGAAGGGAAGGGGAAGCTTTAGACTAACTGAATAGTAGCTCTTACCACCAAGGAGGAAGGCCAGAGACGGAGTAAGCAGTACACACTGGAAAAAGTACTATATCCTGGAAGGCAAGAAAACTTGATCCCTCCCCCAAGCCTGGGTCAATCCAACTACCTCCCTTCTCATCTCCTCTACCAGAGCTACTGAGTTGTTACACAATTTATATTGATACCAGCACAAATGCATGTGCCTAGTCTGTTACCTCTTCCATTCCCATGATTTCAAGCCTCTGGTCTCTTCAATCCCTCTACCCTATTATCTGGTTGCTTGCTCGTAGAAGATGACTTTGCCTCCTACTACACTGAGAAGGTAAAAGTTGTCAGGCTGAAAATCCCTCAATTTCCCTTCTTCTCCCTCTAAATTATTATCACTGTAGTCTTCCTATCCTGACCTCTTTTCTTCGAGTCTTGGGGGCAGGTCTCCCCTTGACTGTCTAAAGCCAATCCCTCTTTATTTGTGCTCAGGATCTCAACTACTTAGAGATGGTCCCTTAGCAACTAGCCCCTATTCTCAGTTTCAGTCTCTCCCAACTGGTTCTTTCACTTGTTCAAGTTTCTTCCATATTTTTTAAAAACAAACAGATGTATATCCTTTGGCCCTTGACTATCTAGCCTTTGCCTTCTTTCATCTTGCCTTCTCAAAAAAAGAGCCTACCAGCTTCCTTCACTTCCCTATCTAGCATTCACTGACCAGCGCACAACAATCTGCTCCTGTCATTCCCCTGACCCTCTTTCTCACCGAGGTCACCTTGTTGATAAAAAAAAAAAAAGCAAAAAAACCCCACAAAATCTGGGGCGCCTGGGTGGCTTGGTTGTTAAGCAGCTGCCTTCGGCTCAGGTCATGATCCCAGGGTCCTGGGATCGAGCCCCACATCGGGCTCTCTGCTCGGCGGGAGGCCTGCTTTTCCCTCTCCCACTCCCCCTGCTTGTGTTCCCTCTTTCGCTATCTCTCTCTCTGTCAAATAAATAAAATCTTAAAAAAAAAAAAGACACTTTTCAGTCCTTATTTTACACTTTATAAATTTGTACTTTTGATGGTCCTCAAAACTTTCTTCCCTTGTCTCCCATGATATCATTGCTTTTCTTCCTACCTGTTGGCTCCTTCTTAGTCTCTCTTTTTGTCTTCCCTCTTCTCCCCATTCCTTAAATACTGCTGTTCCCCCAGAGTTCTGTCTTTGGCCCTCTTCTCTTCTTGGCCATTCACTCATTCAGCAAATATTTAGTGAGTACCCTGAATGTGCCATGCACTCTTTGATGTCGTCCACTCTGTAATTTCAGATTCTATCTAAATGCTAATGACTCAAATCTGTTCAGACCTCTCTACGTTAAACCCAAATGGCCAGCTATGTTTGAACAACTGTACTTAGATGTCCCCCAAGCTCTTCAAATTCAAAATGCCCCAAACTGAATCTCATTGTTTCAATTTTCCCACCTGACCTTGTTTTTCCTCCTCTATTCCCTGACTCAGTGATTGGTACTATCATTTAATCGTTGTCCAAGCAAGAAATCCAAGAACAGCCTTGATTCTCCTTGCCTCCCCTTCCACCTCAAATTTGTTACCAAGCAAGCTCTATACATTCTACTTCCTTGGTTTTTTTTTTTTTCTTTCTAATTTGCATCCTTCTCTTTATTTCTATGGCTACTGTCTTTAGTTCAGGCCATAGTTCTCACCTGGGTTATTATAATAGTAGATCTGTGGGGGATATGTTCCAAGACCCCCCCCGCCCCAGTACCTGAAACAGTGGCTAGTACCAAACTCTATATATACTATGCTTTTTCCTATACATACATACCTATGATAAAGTTTAATTTAGAAATTAGGCAAGTAAGAGATTGACAATAATAACTAATAATAAAATAGACCAATTATAATAATATAACAGTTATGTGACTGTGGTTCCCCCTCTCTCAAAATATCTTATTGAGATACTGTCCTTAGCCTTTTTCTTGTGATGATATGAGATGATAAAATATCTATGTGATGAGTATCTAAGTGAGGTGAATGACATAGGCATTTGTAGTGTTAGGCTACTATTAACTTTCTGACAATCCGTGAGAAGGAGAATCATCTGCATCCAGACCATGGTTGACCATGGGTAATTGGAACTGTGGAAAGTGAAACCGTGGATGGCCGGGGGGTACTAGTGTAATTTATTTTCTTACTTCTAGTCATACCCACTTCTAATCTAATTTCTCTACACTTGCTAGAGTGATCTCCCTAAAACACACATTTCACCATGTCACCCCCTTACTTAAAATCTTTCAATGGCTCCCCACAGCTTTCAGGTTGTATTCCAAATCCTCTACTAGGTCATATAAGGACTTTAAGGATCTGATTCTTGCCCACCTCTCTTGCCTCACCTCTCACTGTTCACTTCTTTATCTGCAAAATCTCCAATGCCACCCTCAAACCTTACATATGACGATAAACATGTCAATAGGAATTACTTTAAGATTTTCCCAAACTAAAGGATGCTTAGCTATCATCTCTAAACCTCTGGCAGAGGAGAAGCTGAGAAACAGAAGATCCATCATTCCACTCACATACTTACAATTTTTCCCAACAAATTTTAAGGCCCTTGTACCTGTTGCTTCAGATGATTAAGTTCGGCTGTCTGGGGATCAATATTAACAACAGGTTTGTTCTTGATTTTTCTTGCTCTGTCAGCATAGCGAAGGGTATTTAATGTTTCTTCTAGATTGGAGTCAGCAGGACTCACACAGGCTATCATAAGAGTATGGCTATTACCTCCTAGAGAATCTGAAAAAGAACAACAGGAGGAAATAAAATCAAACAAGTAGGATGCAAGCAAAGCTGTCCATTTGGGTTGGTGGCTTCAAACTCAGAGCTCTAAGAAAAAAATTCTTAAGAATCTGCAAATTTCCTATTTGTGTCAATAGAAAAACACTAAGATTTTTGGTGTGTAAATGATATAGTTTAGAATCCTATTCCATGTGTCTCCATTGTTAAGATTGTGATTTCAGCACTTAATCAATTTAAAATAACTGGGGCCTGAACCAAGTAAGTTAGCAGCCACTCTTGGAATTAAACATTCTTAGGATGCCCCCTCTAGGTAGGTTTTAATTCTTCAGGGAATTCTGCTTAACAGGCACTAATAAACAGTAATCAAGTTCATTTTCAGGGACAGAGGACTAAGCACTGTTGTCATTCTATAGATTGCTTGGCTCTCAAAGCCATATATGAAGACATCTTTCCAGTATCATAGAAGCCTGCTTGCCAACAGGTCTCTTGCAAAGCTCTTTATCAATTAGACAGCTCTGTATGTGATAGTCCAAAAATCTGTTTGCCTGTCCCATCTTCACCTTCTCAGCACCATTATTCTGAGTTACTCTCTTATTTTTAGAAACACTTTGGGCTTACCTTGAAGCAGTCGAGTCAACTTGGAATCTCTGTAGGGCACAAAGCCACCCTTTTTGTCATCTCCAAGAGCACTGATTACATTTCCCAAGCACAGGAGGCCTCGGTTAATATTAATACCTAATAGCAGGAAACAAAATTTACATTGCTTGGTAAAGCATCGAACACATACCTGCACAAAATAAAAAGCCTGCAGAAATATTAAATCGTCAATCAAGGAAACTTCTTGATCCTGTTCACTTTTCTGAGGACAAAAGTCTAAATGTTGGATAGGCACACGGAATTTGCTGGCACTTCTTGCCCTTTCCCATGGAAACAAAGTATACACACAGATAACTATCACCATGACAACAATATTTATATATTTACTTTTTATATACATTATCACATCTAATTCTTAAATTAACACTGAGTAATTAGATGAATAGCTGTTTTTTTTTATTGTCATCTTGCTAAATTATTTTTACTATCATTCTCACCTTACAGATAAGGAAACCAGCACAGAGGTTCACTGACTTGTCTAAGGTCAAACAGCTGGTGAGTGGTAGGCCTGACATTCCATTTCAGGACTTCAGTTAAGTCCTATGCTCTTTCTATGACACCACACAGGAATACATTTTCTCTTGTTGCTTTAGAAAGGGTAAAGATTCTTTTCCACTTCTTTAATTCCAAGGTTTGCTTTTTAAATCCTGTAATAATCTCTGAGGTCCTTCTAAAGCCCCTGATTTTCCCATGATTACATTTATTGTGTAAAGGCTATATAGTATAGTGGTTAAGTGCATGGGCTTTGGTGTCAGATAGACCAGGTTCTAATCCTGGCTCTACCACTGACTACCTATATGATTTGGGTAAAGTTCCGCTCTAAAATGAGGCAAATATACCTACCTCATTGGGTTGTAGTGGGGAATTAAATAAGATACTCATACAAAGTTAAATGCTAAAGAAATGGGATCATTTTTGTTAAACTTTTACTTACTCAGCCATACTTTGGACTCCCCTATAACCAGAAACAATCATATCTACAAGATCCTGAGCTCCAGAATTCCTGACTGCATCCCACAATCCTTTCATTTCTTTCATGAATCCTGTTCTTTACCCTTACTGTGACCACCAATTTACTGACACTTTTTTAAAGATTTTATTTATTTGACAGAGAGAGAGAGAGCACGCACAAGCTGGGGGAAAGGCCGGCAGGGGGAGAGGGAGAAACATGCCCTCCGCTGAGCAGGGAGCCTGATGCAGGGCTTGATCCCAGGACCCTGGGATCGTGACCTGAGCTGAAGGCAGACGCTCAACCGACTGAGCCACCCAGGCACCCCTGACACTTTTTTTAGAAGATTTACTTTATTTATTTGAGAGAGAGAGAGAGAGAGTGAGTGCCAGTGGGGGGAGGGGCAGAAGGAGAGGGAGAAGGAGAGAAATCTCAAGCAGACTCCCCTCTGAGTGCAGAGCCCAACTCGGGGCTTGATCTCATGACCCTGAGATCATGGCTTGAGCTGCAATAAAGAGTCGGGCACTTAATCGACTTAGCCACCCAGGCGCCTCTACTGACACTTTCTTTCTTTTTTTAAGATTTTATTTATTTGAGAGAGTGTGCAAGAGAGTGCGTGAGAGAGAGCACAAGCGGCGGGGAGGGGCAAAGGGAGAGGGAGAAACAGACTCCCCACTGAGCAGGGAGCCTGATGTGGGACCCGATCCCAGGACCCCGGGATCATGACCTAGCCAAAGGCAGACGCTTAACTGACTGAGCCACCCAGGTGCACCCTGCCACTTTCTTTTCTTTTCTTAAGATTTTATTTATTTATTTGACAGAGAGAGAGACAGCGAGAGAGAGAACACAAGCAGGGGGAGTGGGAGAGGGAGAAGCAGGCTTCCCGCGGAGCAGGGAGCCTGACGTGGGGCTCGATCCCAGGATCCTGGGATCATGACCTGAGCCGAAGGCAGACACTTAATGACTGAGCCACCCAATCACCCCACCCTGCCACTTTCTAATACTCCCAGTAGATCATTCTCTCCTGGGCCTTAAACTGGACCCTGTGATCAATCATTTCAATTAGGCTTTCCCAAACACTCACCAGACCCATGACCTTCTGCCTCCCTATCATGTTAACTCCCAGTCACAAGTTAAACCAAGTATGTGTGTGTGTGTGTATGTGTATGTGTGTGTGTGTGTGTGTGTGTGTGTAAGTTTCTGTAGGCTGCAATGCTGAAGAAAGTCACATAACCAAATGGACTAGATCCATTCATTATAAAACATTGCTATCTGATTTTAGGTGAACCTTTCGTCAATTGAAAATCTTTTCTTCCTCATCCCCTACTTCACCACGGCAGCTATTCTAAACATTCATCATTTTCAAGACTGTAAATCCCCTTTCACTCTATTAGTGGATGATTTCAACAAATACACTGTGGAGATCAAAGTTATCCACAAGGGAAGATTTTCCCTCTCCTCAACTCAGTCTTTTTCTTTGCAGTGGTTCATTCATCCCTCTCCTTGTTTCAGAGGAGTAAATAACCACCTTTATTTCCCCTTCAGCCTCTGCTGGTTTGTTTCTGTTCCTTCCATTTTCTCTGGGACGCTGGATCCTTGGATCTTCTCCCTCTCTCTTAGATCTTCAACTTATTTTCCCTTCACGAATTCCTTCTTTTCAGTCTATATACATGCTCAAATCACCCCAATCTCAAACAAAAACAATTCCCTCAAGCAACCATTCCTTTCTTTTCCCTTTATTGCTAACTGAAAGGGATACCATTTTCAGGGCCATTTAGCCTATCCAGGATGTGAAGGAGAGTCTGCGGAGATTTACCAAAGCTGCTCGCCAATACCTGTACTAATTCTTGTATTAGTTCATTCTTTTCTTTTCTTTCCCCTTTGAGCCACACAGAACACTGTGCCATCTTATTGGCTCATATCCCATCTGGGATGTAAAGGAGAGATGGGGAGGTTTTTCAAACGTGCTGAGCAAAACTTCCATCTATAGTTTCATGCAAAAACAACAATAAAAAATCTAGATGAACCCTGAGAAGAATCTATGGCAACTAGGATCTAAGCAAGAATCATACACTTGGTATGTATAAAGAGGCTGTTTTTTTCTTCTTCAAATGAGAATCGGGGCTTTGGGATAGAAAGGAGCAAGGGAAATGAATCTCTAGAAGGAAACCATCACAAAACGGGATTTGATTTCCTGTTGTTAAGAGATTTTAAAATGACAAATTCTTGACATGGATGGAGTACACATCATAAAGACTGGGAAGCACATGTTTGCAGAGATTTAAATTTCTGATCGAGGACGGGGTATGGAGAAAAATGTCCAGATAACATTATAAAATCAGAAGGTATTCTCTCTAAGACTGAGAACAGATCAAACAAGGAGGATCAAGAATACTATTTGACATTTTTGGGTATTTATTTACTATGGCAACAAATAAATAATAGAGATCTTAACTTAAAAGGGAAATATAACTTGTATCATGGAGGCATGTTGCAACAGGTTTCAGAACTAGAACAGAAGTAACAGGGGAGAACAACCAGGTAGGAGAGAAATGAAGTAGCTCCATATGCAGCAGCTCTCAAATGGGGATACTTTAGCTTTTTTTAAAGATTTTATTTATTTATTTGACAGAGAGAGAGATCACAAGTAGGCAGACAGGCAGGCAGAGGGAGAGGGAGAAGCAGGCTCACCGTTGAGCTGGGAGCCCGATGCGGGGCTCGATCCCAGGACCCTGGGATCATGACCTGAGCCGAAGGCAGACGCCCAACTGACTGAGCCACCCTGGCACCCAATACTTTAGCTTTTGAAGGGATATTTGGCAATATCTGAAGACATTTTGGTTGTCACAATTTGTGGGTGGCAGTGAGTGCTACTGGCATCTAGTGGGTAGAGGACAAGGATGCCACTAAACATCCTACAAGGCACCAGACAGCCCCCCAAATTATTTCATCTAAAATGTCAATGCTGCCACAGCTGAGAAACTCTGCTCTATAGGTGAAGAAAATATCTGCGAGCCTAAGGCAGGTAGCCGAGTAAAATAGGGTGAAAAACAGAAGTAATATTATAGTATCAATATGGTCCACCTAGTTAGAGAGAAAGGGAATGATCTGTTACTGCAACGGCTCACAAAACTCACAGGAATAAATACTGAGAAGGGATAGAGTGAAAGGGAATTTGATTAGGAGACAGAATCTTAGTTCAAACTCTGCCTCTGCCACCTACTGATATGTGTGACCTTGGACAAGCCACTGAAACTTTCCTTTATTCATAAAATAGGTGTAATACATACCTTACCACATTTTCATCCAATGTGATCTACAAAGTGCTACCTACACATAAGTTTTTATTAATAGGGTGGACAAACTTGGATAATTTGGGTATCTACTAAGCTATGTGAGGCTGAAAGTAGAGCACCTGATAAATTCCTAATCCACTCTGACGACAGCTTCTTCACTCAAAAGATACTGTGAGTGAGTAAGGAAATGGCTGCTTTGGTCTTCAAGATGACACACACAGAAGAACTGATTATTTAAATAAAATGATGGGGATCTGTTTGTTGGGGACCCAAGGGGCATGGTTATACACCAGTATGCTAGCTGTTACGAAAACAGATCTCCAAAATTTGGGGAAAAGGCAGCCAACTTTCTGGGAACAGGACGTCTAAAGGGGAAAAAAGGACACAAGGCTTTCAAAACACAAAACTGTAATTATCTAGTCACAAATTATTTCAATAAAAAAAAATCAACGTATCGGGGTGCCTGGGTGGCTCAGTTGTTAAGCATCTGCCTTTGGCTCAGGTCGTTATCCCAGGGCCCTAGGATGAAGCCCTGCATCGGGCTCCCTGCTCCGCGGGAAGCCTGCTTCTCCTCCCACTCCCCCTGCTTGTGTTCCCTCTCTCGCTGTGTCTCTCTCTGTCAAATTAAAAAAAAAAAGAAAAACCGACATAGTTTCATAGAAATCAACGTGGCAAAGAAATTCACACAGAAAAAGAACACAGAGCATCATAGGAAGTTCTGTTCAAACACAGGAGATTGGCCACCAGCATTTCTCTCCTCTCCCTCCTAAAACACCACTAAATGGGATTTTAAAAGTACTTTACCCACCAGATCACAGAACATAGGAGAGAAATATTAGTAGACAGGAGGTTTCAACATATTTTTAGAGTACTGGTAGATAAGCAATAACTAACTTAGCAAGATAGAAGAAGCTTCAATCTAAAGAACCTGCAGGGGGACAATAGTGATAGTGATAATAACAGCTGAGTTTATATAGTGTTTACATAAGCTAGACACTATTCTAGGTACTTTATACATAGTAACTCATTTCATCCTCACAATAGTCCTATAAAGTATGATTATCGTTATACTGACATATAGGAGAGTTGAGGCACAAAGAGGTTAGGGAAGTTGCCTAAGGTCGCACAGCTAAGAAGTGGCTGAGTCAGAATTCAAATATAGGCAGTCTGGCTCCAAAGTCCATGGTCCTAATCTCTATGCTCTATGGAAATGAGCTGATAGGGTCACTCAGTGGCAGCACCAGGTACATTGGAAATCATTCCCAGTCTCCTTATGGGATTGTTTTTCTAACACCCACCCATTAAATGTTGATATTCTCTTGAAACTGTCTTGAGCTCTTTTCTCCCTATATATACTCTCCCTAGGTTATTTTATACAGCCTAGAGTTCCAATAAAAACTATAATGAATGAGTTACACATCTGCATCTCCAAACAAGACCTCTTTCCTGTTGCCCAAAGCTGTATGTTGGCTGCCTACTGAATAACCTCCAGTAGGCTGTGCCCACAAGGCATTGCATGAAAATACCAAAGAAAACAGAATTCATCTTTCAGTGCCAATCCATTTCACTTCCAGCACTGTCCTTTTTCATTTTCTTGCCGTCTAACAAGTCATGCAACAACCAGCCAACCTGGAACTCTTCCTCTTCTCACCCCACACATCTGAGTCCTTTTCATCAAATACTTAGTGAGTAGGTACAATGTTCTAGGCACTGTGCTAGTTATTAGAGAT